GTCTGAAAGACACGTCCCCTCCCTCGCGACTCTGGTCATCTGCTACGGGATGGCAATCAACCTCGTCGAGGTGGCGTGGAGATAGGGGGAGATAGGGGCGATAGGGGGAGATAGGGGGAGATAGGGGGAGATATGGCAATTCACCCCGTCGAGTGTGACGAGGTTATAATTAATTAAGTAATAATTAATTAATTATAATTCACCCCGTCGAGTGTGCCGATGACGCTGATGCTGATGAGGTGGTGACTGTTACTAAGGTGACATGGAAGAGCAAGCTCAAGCAGGCGCCGTGGCCCGCCCCGCTTACCTCCTCCGCGTCTCCCCGACGCCCCCTTTCAACCGTCATTCAACTATTCATTGGTTCGCCGTCCATTGTTCACAGGCCTTCCCCGACCCAACCGCCTACTCGGCCTTCATGGGATCATTCTCGTCCGCCACCGGCGTCGCCACGCTTGCCATGATGCTCTTTGGGCGGTTCGTCTTCCGCAAGTGGGGCTGGGGCACCGCAGCAATGATCACGCCTTCGGTGCTGCTCGGGACCTCGCTCGCCTGGGGGGCTGTGAACAGCGTCTCTTCACACCTCTCGCTGTGAACAGGTGCTGCTCGGCACCGGCGTCGCCTTCTTCGCTCTCTGCCTCACAGGCAACACACCCGCCACCGCGGCCCGCCCCTTCGCCGGCGACACGCCCGCGGCACGTCACGCTCGCGACATTCTCGCGACCCCGCCGCACGCCCACCACACGCCCGCCACGCGCCCGCCACCGCGCCCGCCACCACGCCCGCAGGCAACACCTTCGCGCCGCTCCTGTCGACGGTCGGCCTCACGCCGCTCATGCTCGCCGTCTTTGTCGGCGCGGCGCAGAACATCGTGTCCAAGGCGGCAAAGTACTCCCTCTTCGACCCGTGCAAGGAGATGGCCTACATCCCCCTCGACGCCGAGGAGAAGACCAAGGGCAAGGCCGCCGTCGACGTCATCGGCGGGCCGCTCGGCAAGTCGGGCGGGAGCCTCGTGCAGCAGCTGCTCATCTTTGGCTTCGGCTCGCTCGCCGCGTCGACCCCCTACCTCGCCGTCATCCTCGGCGGCATCATCTTCGCCTGGATGGGCGCGGCGCGCTCGCTCTCCGGCCAGTTTGACGCCGCCATGCAGCAGCAGCAGGCGGCAGAGGGCTCGCCGGAGGCGGCGGCCGACACGTCGGCAAAGGCAAAGGCGAGATGATTCGCCGCTCCCCACGGACGCTCTCCGCACGGATGAGCCTCTGAACCCTCCCCCGCCCCCTCGCCGATATGGCAGACCAAATGTCACGGTACTGAGGTGTCAGGTATGTTACCCGCGTGGCTGAGACCAGAGCTCTCGGCCGCGAGGGTGTGCGTGGCGTGTGCGTGTACGGCAGTACCTGTGCGTGCGTGTGCACACTCTACAGTATGGAGCAGATATGTACTCTTTTCTTTTCAATTCATGCACAGTGCATCTGGATCTGCGGCCCTGGATCCAGCTCCCGAGCTCTGCCACGTGCCAGGAGTTGAACGAGAGCTCCGCCCCCACTGGCACTGCGCGCCCAGCCGCGAGCCGGCCCGGGCGCACTCTCTCTTTCTTGAGGCGCCGCAAAAGGCGCAGAGTGTCCCACCGCCCTCTGTCTCTAGCTCTACATGCAGGTCCATGCCTTTAACGTACTTGATACGGGCTACGGCCCAGGTGGTCGGGCCACCACAGTTTCAGATCTGCTCCTCAAGATAGCGCCGCAATCTTTTGATCTCGGGTTTCTTGAGTCCGAGCTCGCCGAGATCTACGTCGTCGGCCTCTCTGAGATCAGTCAGCTCAGAATATCCGGCGTCGTGCAGCACACCTGCATAAGCGGTGAGCTTAGCCTCCTCGAGAAACGCCACCATTGCACGCCCTCGAGGAGAGCTCATGGAGGAGCCCATTGAGCCCGCCTCGTCTTGTACGGCGGCGGCGGCCGAAGCGAGGGGGGACGAGCCGTCAGTTCGAAAAATCTCTTCGATGCCGTGCGCCAGGTCGCGATCTTCAGCCACCTGCGACCGTCCTCCCGACGCCTCGGGGGCCTGCGCCAGCCCCTGCTGCTGCGGGGCCGGGAAAGGAGCTGACGCCGTCAATGTCCCCGCCATCTCCGCCTCTGTCGCCGCCAACGCTGCTGTTGCCGCTGCCGCCGCTGCTGCCGCCGACATCACCGCCACCGCCTCCTCCGTCGGTGACGGTGCCGGTGCCATCGGCGTGGACGTAGCACTCGCGAGCAGCTCGAGTGCGCACTCATCAAGCAGTCGTGCATAGCCGCGGCACGCGTGGTCGTCGATGTGCGACGTCACCCTGGGGGGTCTGCCTCCTCGTATCTCTTTTCGCAGTCTCTCGCCGCTTCTCGCTGCAACCTTCATGCCACCTCGCGGCTGTCCCACTCTCGTCGTTCTCTCCCTTGTCACTTCCCCCTCTGTCGCGTCGTTCTCTTCTGCCTCGTCCTGCGACGCCGCCGCCTGCCGGTCCCTTGTTCTCGCGGCTTCTTTCGCCTCTCGGCGCAACTCCGTCCTCCTTGCGGCGTATCCTGGCCCCTCGAGTCTATCGAGCTCCCCTCGCGCAAGGACCACATTTCTGACTCCCACTCCGATCAATCCGTAATTCCGTAAAATCGGTGAAAAATTCTTTTGTCCGTCGCTAATTCTTTAATTTGTCGTGCGCGCTCCGAACCGCGTTGTATGCTCGCGCCTCCTCTCTGCGTGCTTCTGGCCTCCGTCGTCTCCGGGAGGGCCACCATATCGCGGCTTGGCGTGCGTTCCCGCCCGCCGATCGCGGGCGACGGCGGCCCGGCGCCGACGAGCGAGAACGCGGTCCTGGCCGAGGGAGCGGCAGAGGCGGAGGATGGCGCGATGCTTCTGGTTCGGATGCAGTGCCCCGCGTCCGTGGACGGGCACTACTGGTCCGAGCTGCTGGTCGACGCCGGCGCGCTCTATGTCAGCTTGAGCGACGGCGGCCGCGGCACGGACGCCGAGCAGCCGATATACCACGCCCACCCGCCCGGAGAGTCGAGCGCGCAGCTGCTCGAGCGGCTCCCCGCGGAGACCACGCCGGGGCACCTGACGCCGGTCTGGTCCAACACGCAGCTCGAGGTTGGCTTTGCGCCGGACGTCGACGTCGAGGCGACCCTCCTCCTCGCGGCCGCCGTCGCGGGCGAGACTCCGCCGCGCTTCGAGGTGGAGCTGCTGGGCGCGCGTGACTGGGTGTCGCAGGTGCAGTCGGACTGGGCGCCCGTCGAGCTGGCGGGCTGTCTGCGCATCCTCTTCCCGTGGCACGCCGACAGCGCCGGCGAGGGCTCGGGCGGCGCGCTGCCACCAGCCCTGCAGCTGCAGCCGGGGATGGCGTTTGGGACGGGCGAGCACGCGACGACGCAGCTCTGCGTTCGCGGCGTGCACTCGCTGCTGGCGGGTGGGCGGCTGACCGGCTGCGACGCGATGCTCGACTTCGGCTCTGGCTCCGGCGTCGTCGCCTTTGCGGCGCTCCTCTTCGGCTGCCGCCGTGCCGTCGGCGTCGAGATCGACCCGTACGCACTCAAGGCGAGGTATAGCCGAGATATAGCCGAGATATAGCCGAGATCGACCCGTACGCACTCAAGGCGAGATCTGGCCGAGATATAGCCGAGATATAGCCGAGATCGACCCGTACGCACTCAAGGCGTGCGTCGCTAGTGAACCGACTCACTAGCTGGCTCCTCCCAAGCGCCGCCACGCATGCCGCTTCCGAGAGGTTTCCTGGCGGCGGGACTCGGCCGCGCCCTCTCTCACCGCCGCCGCCTGCCTCGCGCTAGGTTTCGCGCGCCAACGCCGTTGACAACGGGATGGCCGACCGGTTTGTGGCGGTGCTGCCCGCCGAGGAGGCGCCGGAGGAGTACGAGCTCGTGGTTGCAAACATCCTCGCGCGCACGCTCGTGCAGCTGCAGTCCGCCCTAGACGCAGAACACGCAGGGAGTCCCAACATGGAGTTCCTATTCTTGTCAGCCAGCGCGAGAGGGACACGGACTCCGCCGTACTCCGCTGTACTCGTAGCCCGTGTATTCACGCGGTGTCGAAAGACGCTGCACTCCGCCGTATTCCCGCCCTCATGTCGGCGCATTCACACCGTAGGCAGCCCACACTGTCCTCGCGCGTCGCGGCGGGAGGCACACTGCTGCTCTCGGGCATCTGGGGCGAGGCGCAGGCGGCCGAGGTGGAGGCGGCGTTCGCGCCCGACTTCGAGGGCTTTGAGCGGAGCTGGCAGGACGGGTGGGTGGTGATCAGCGCGAGGCGCAGGAGGTAAACGCACGCAAGCGACGGTTCGTCTCGCTGTCTGCACGCCCCCCCGCTCGGATCGGTGCGTGGCGGCCGCGGGCGCAACGGATGCGCGGACCGCAAAAAGGACGTAGTTCTGAGTGTATTTACGCGCGTCCCACAGAGAGATCAAAGACTTCAAAGCTCGTCATGAGTGCGGCTACTGCCGCCGCCGCCGCCGAACTCGACCGCCGCCGCCGCCGCACCGGGGTCCGTCTCGCCCGGCCCCGGGTCGAGCGCCGGCAAATGTGCGAACCATGCTCGGTATGCCTCCGCCTCCGCCTCCGCCTCCCCTCCTTCGCCCCGAGACCGGCGCAGCGCCCGCAGCAGCGGCTCCGCCTCTGGCGCGGCGCTCGTGTTGAGCAGTTGCGCGTGCAGCAGCGCGGCACGCGTCTCCTCCAGCGTGGCACGCGTCTGCTCGCGCGTCGCGGCCGCCTGCGAGGGGAGAGTTCGGAGAAACTTCGGGCAGAGTTCCGAGAGGGTTCGGGCAAGGTTCCGAGAGGGTTCGGGCAAGGTTCCGAGAGGGTTCGGGCAAGGTTCCGAGAGGGTTCGGGCAAGGTTCCGAGAGGAGAAGGTTTGTGCAGGGCCGAGAAGGGGCGCGTCTCCCCGCGCGTCGGTGGCACCTTCGCGGCGGCGCCGCACGAGAGGAGCTCCGCAACGAGGTAGCGGATCGGCGGCGGCCAGCCAGCGGACGGACCTAGAAGGTTCCTAGAAGGTTCCTAGAAGGTTCCTGGAAGGTTCCTGGAAGGTTCCTAGCCAGCCAGCGGACGGACCGCTCTGTGGCGCCCCACCCCGGCCAGCCTCAGCGAGGGAGAGCCTAGAAGGCTCCTGGAAGGTTCCTAGAAGGTTCCTGGAAGGCTCCTAGCCAGCCTCAGCGAGGGAGAGCCTACCGGGAGAGTTGGGGAGACATGGGGAGACGTGAGGAGAGCCTTTGCGAGGGAGAGAATCTCGGCAAACCTCGGAGAACCTCGGCGAATCTCGGCTCCTCACTCGCCCTTTCTCGACGGCTTCGGCGGCGGCGCTCAAAGACGCCAGCGCGCCCTCTGCAGCCGCCCCGCCGCCCGCCGCCAGCCCGGCCTCCGCGAGCCGGCGGAGCCGCGCCAGCGCAAGTGCGAGGGCCGCGAACCTGCGCACGAGGCGAGCGCCTCTGCGGCAAGGAGCGGCAACGGCGGGGCGGCAACGGCGGGGCGACAACGGCGGGGCGGCAACGGCGGGGCGGCAACGGCGGGGCGGCAACGGCGGGGCGGCAACGGCGGGGCGGCGCGGTGCGCGTGGAGGAGAAGCAATCCCCGCCGTGTGTGCGTGTGCGTCGCCCGCCCCGCGTGTGCACCTCGCGTGTGCCTCACCTACCGATGCGCATCTACACGCGCGCGCACGAGAGGCCCGGCAAGGCGGAGTCGCCCATCGAGGAGAGCTCCTCCGGCAGCCGTCCGCTCGCGGCAGAGTCATCTGCCTCCGCGACGGCGAACGCGATCGTGCGGCCGATGGCCTCGGTCGTGATGCGCCCGTCGGCCCCGCCGGCCGCCGAGCTGGAGCTGGACGACCAGCCGTACCCGTCCTGCGCTGCGGGCGCGACACAGCACGGGCGCGACGATCTACCGCAGGCAAGCCCGCAAGCCTCGCCTGGCCTCAGCCACCGCGCGCCGACGCGAAAAGTGCCGACGCCGCGCGCGTTGCACCCAACCTCGACGGCGCAGTCAAAGGTGCCGTCTTGCGTGCACGCGAGGAGCGTGATTCGGCCTGTCCGGTCGCAGCCACGCAGCGCTGAGGCGGCATCGAGACCGTTTGCAAAAGTGACGAGGGCTCCCGGCCGCAGAACCGCTCGCTGCAGCCTCAGCAGCTTGCGGCCGTGGCCGCGGAGTTCGCCATCGACGAGCCGACTCCTACCTACACAGGCGTGTACGTACCCTGAACCACCGACGCATTGTGGCGCGCTGTTTTCACGGTGCTCCGGCTGCCCCCCGGTTAAGATCTCGTGCAAAACTCTTTTTATCACCCCCCTCAAGTACACCCCCCAGACTCCCCCAAACCGCCCAGGATGAGCTCCTGAGGTGCCAGTCCGCCCGAGATATGACCGGTTGAAGTTGGGGTTCCACGGTCGGGATGGAGGTGCCGAACTGGATAGGGGTCAGCCAGGGAGGCTGTTGTGGCGCACCGGACCGCCCCCCAGCACCGTGCCCCACCCAACTGCATCCATGGGAGTCGCAAACGGTGCTGCACTCGCGGCTGCAAGCACTCACGACACTCAAACCCACCACCTGCCTCCTACCCTGTACGAGGAGCCGGCGACCCGTACGCTTTGCGCGTGGCGACTGGTGGCTGTCTGGAGCTCGTGTGAGCTGGGCCGACGCGTGGCCGAGCCGAGAGGACCAGCGAGCGACCACGTTGGCGATGAAGCTTGGCGGCCGGCGCCTCGTCGCCAGACGTCACAGCGGCGTGGACGTAGGAGTGTGCGGCGACGAGTGCCGGCAAATCCGGCCCAGTGTGGCCGGCAGCTGCCTAGCGCTGGCCTGTGGCCGGCGCCGCGGTGGCGGAGAAGGCGTCTCGCCGCCGTGGCGGCGGTCGGCAGGTGCGAGCGTGATGCCATCTTGCGGGACGACACCCGTCTCGCAAACCCGGACTGCGACGTAAGAATTCTTTCGCGAGTCAGAAAAGTCTCAATTAGGGCATCCTCAATTAGGCATCCCTCATTACCATGGAAGCAGGCGGCGTGTCCGTCCTCCTCGGGGTCCTCAAGACCAAGAAGACCGTAAGTGCGCCGCCCCTTCCCCTCGACCGCTCCCGGAGCAGCACCGCACTCGCGGCGTACCTCGCCGAGCCCGACCACATCCACCCCTCCCTCGGCCCGCTCTCGGTGACGAAGGGCAGCGATTTCGTCGGCGTGTGGCGGTGCACCCGCCCTCGGGGCGGGGGCGCCTGCGAGTGCGTGTGGCTCGCTGGGATCGCGCATCGGATGCGGGGCAGGTGCCCCTGCCCCGACTGCGCGGCGGCGGCGGCGGCGGTAGTGCGGTCCTCGGCCCTCGCGGCGCACGGCTCCGTCCTCCTCGGCGTGCTTCGCGTCTCGAGGGGGGAAGCCGCGCCGCCCCTTCCCCTCGACCTCTCCCGCAGCAGCTCCGCACTCGCGGCGTACCTCGCCGAGCCTGACCACATCCACCCATCCCTCGGCCCGCTCTCGGTGACGGAGGGCAGCGGCTGCGTCGGCGTGTGGCGGTGCACGGCGCGGCGGGGCGGGCGCGCCTGCGAGTGCGTGTGGACCGCTGTGATCAAGCATCGGATGTGCGGCAACTGCGGCTGCCCCGACTGCGCGGCGGCGGCGGCGGCGGTAGTGCGGTCCTCGGCCCTCGCGGCGCACGGCTCCGTCCTCCTCGGCGTGCTTCGCGTCTCGAGCGGGGAAGCCGTGCCGCCCCTCCCCGCCGACCTCTCCCGCAGCAGCTCCGCACTCGCGGCGTACCTCGCCGAGCCTGACCACATCCACCCATCCCTCGGCCCGCTCTCGGTGACGGAGGGCAGCGGCTTCGTCGGCGTGTGGCGGTGCACGGCGCGGCGGGGCGGGCGCGCCTGCGAGTGCGTGTGGACCGCTGTGATCGTGCATCGGATGCGGGGCAGGTGCCCCTGCCCCGACTGCGCGGCGGCGGCGGCGGTAGTGCGGTCCTCGGCCCTCGCGGCGCACGGCTCCGTCCTCCTCGGCGTGCTTCGCGTCTCGAGGGGGGAAGCCGCGCCGCCCCTCCCCGCCGACCTCTCCCGCAGCAGCTCCGCACTCGCGGCGTACCTCGCCGAGCCTGACCACATCCACCCCTCCCTCGGCCCGCTCTCGGTGACGGAGGGCAGCGATTTCGCCGGCGTGTGGCGGTGCACGGCGTGGCGGGGCGGGCGCGCCTGCGAGTGCGTGTGGACCGCTGTGATCGTGCGTCGGATGTGCGGCAACTGCGGCTGCCCCGACTGCGCGGCGGCGGCGGCGGCGGCAGCGGCGGCGGAGGCAGATGCAGCGGCGGATGCTGAAGCCAAGCAGGCTCGACAGGATCGGCGCGCCGCCGACCGCGCGTGGGTCGAGGGCGCCGCCGCGCGAGCGGCCACCGCCCGCGAGGAGGAGGCGCGGCTCTCGGAGGAGATGCTGCAGCGGCATCTCGCCCAGGGCATCACCGCGATGCAGATGGGCGAGGTGCAGCTCTGGCGCGAGGTGGAGGTGGAGGGGGGGCGGCGCACCTCGACGCACGGCGGGATCGGCCTCGGGCTGGCCCACTTCCACGACCCATCCGATGGGAGTGTCGTGCCCCCCAGCGAGATCGCTCTGTTTGGCCTCGCCATCGAGGGGGCCTTTGACGTCGGGCGTCTCGGCGGCTGCGACGTCCACCTCAAGGCCGGCAACCGCCGGGCCGTGGCCTGCAGCCCGCAGGGTCCCCGGCCCTTCTCGGAGAGCGCGCGGCGGGACCTGCCAGCCACCCTCGAGTACATCGAGCAGGTGTGCACGCGGGCGCGCGTGCCCGCGCGGGCGGTGCGCGCGGTCCTGGCTGCCACCCGCGCGCTCGCCGAGGTCGACCGCGCCGCGGAGCTGGTGTTTCTCTCCTCGGGCGAGGCGCGGGACGCGGTGCGGCCAACAAGCGCCTCCCACCACGACGCGCGGGGCGATCAGAAGTGGTACGGGCCGGGGAACTCCCCCCACTTCAACAAGTTTCAAGGGTGCGTGCGCTAGCGGCCTGCCTCCAACCATGCGAACCTCCACCTGGCGTGCCATACGATTCACCCCCCCCCCCCCCTCTCCCTGCCCTGGTGCAGGGCAAAGGCTGGCCACCGCCTCGTCCGCCTCATCATCTCCCTCTCCCCGAACCTCCGCATGGTCAACACGATGCTGCAGCAGGTCGACGAGAAGGGCGAGATCCTCCCCCACCAGCCCACGTGGCAGGCGCGGCTCTCCGCCTGCGGCGTCGACCTCGGCGAGCGGAGCGAGGAGGCGGAGCGAGGAATGGCGGGCTACGCCGACTTCTACCTCTGCGCGCCGGGCGCGGGCGATCGGATCCGGAACGGTTCCAGCACCCACGCCAACGAGATGGTCTGGCGGGCGTGGCGTGGCGCGTGCTCCGTCGTCGCCCTCTCCCCCGACGGCGCGAGCAGCGGCTGCGAGCATGGCGGCTCGTCGCAGGTGCCAATGACGGCGGTGGAGCAGCACGAGCGCGGCGAGATTCTCCGCGTCGAGCGCGGCTCGGGCTCGGTTGTGGCAATGACAACGGGGTCGGCCGCCGAGCACGGCGTGCCGCGCTCGCCGAAGCGGGCGCTGCTCGTGCGGCTGCTGCTGCTGGAGGCGCTGGGCCGCGCCACCCTCGTCCCCGCGGCCGGCCCGAGCGCGGTGGAGGAGGGTGTAGACAGGATCTGGATCCTGGTGGCGCTTGCCAACGAGTACAAGTGGCTGCCCGTGTCGTTTTGCCCGGTGAGCATGATTCTCGCCTTGCTGGCGTGATAGAATCGTTTCACAGCGGCTCGACTCGTTTTTGCCCCCGTTGCAGTAAATAAATTTGTTTTGCAAGTTGAAACGGACACGCCAACGAGGGGGAGGGTAGTGTGTGGGGAGAAGCGGACAGGGTCCCCACCTGCACGAGCAGGATCTTGTAAGGACGATCAGGGACAGAGGGAAACGGGCAGCGGGGAAGGCCCAGTGTTTTCCTTGGAGCACGGCAGTCGAATTCTTCTCTCGGCTCGCCGTCGTTGAGGTGGCTCGGGGCCGACTCTCGCCAGGTGATTACCAGCAGGCGCCGGCTGTCCGCGCGCCCTCTGCCCCCGACACGCCGGTCCCGGGCCCACCGGCACATGCCGCAGCGCCGGGCTCGTTCGCGCCGCGCGATAGCGCGCCCTCGCCGTGGCGCTCAGCTCAACCCTGCTCGTTGCGAGCAACGTGCTGTGGCAGCGCGCGCACGGCGGTCTCCGTCGGGTAGGCGTGGAAGAAGTCGCGGCGGGCCGCGAGCAGCGCCGCCGCCTCGGCGCCCTCGCACGACGCAAACTCGGAAAAGGCCTCGAGAAGGGTCGGCTCCGCCTCGGGCGTCGAGGAGCAGGAGATGAGCAGCGACGAGGCGAGCGCCCAGCGCATTGTGTCGAGTGAGTTGAGCCCCTCGCCGACGACAGCTGGGACAACCAGGTTCGTTGTGAAGAGCTGGGGCGCGCCACCTCTCGAGGTTCTCGAGGTGGATATCCTTTGGCCGCGTTGGGTAGCGAGGATTGGTGTGACGCGATCCACGCAGGCGTGTTTTCTGGCGGCCGACCGTCAGTGCACGGAGTTGCCCCTTCTCCGACTGCCCCGGCTAGTTCCCGAGTTTCGCGGGAGTGACCCCATGCGCCACCCAAGAGCGCAATCGATCTTTTTGCCCTCTATCACCTTCGGTTGTAAGAACTTGAAACACACCACGCAGGGGCACAGCAAGCACGGATAGCCGTTGAGGAGAAAGGGCGTGAGGTGTATGCGCGCCACCTCCCGCGAGCGCGGCGGGATCGGAATTGCGGCCGGAGGGAAGGGCGAGCCGCCGCCGCCGCCGCCATATACCACCAGCGACGACGACCGCGGCTCGCCCCAAACGCCAGGCGCTGGATCGGCAGTAGGGCTTGGGCGGCGCAGCGTAGGCCTCGAGCCACACGAGTCGCCGACAACCCCCCCTCATCGACGTGATGGCCGCACCCGCTGTCGGCCGATGCAAGCTGCCGCCTCCACCGCACCAGCGATACTGGCCGCGGCTCGCCGCCACGCGCCGGCTCGGAAGAGGGGCTATCGGCGGCGCAGCAGAGCGGCATGCGTCGTCATTCGAGCAGCACCAGGTCCCCTCTTCGACGTGACGGCCGCTCCCGGAGCCGGCCGGTGCGCGCCCGACCCACGCCCCCTCTCGCACCCCCCCGATCCCCCTGCGCGGCGCCCCCTCCACTGCGCGCCGGCTCGAGCGCCTATTGCCAAATCGCGACTTTCGAGCGCAGTGCGTGCGCCCCACACGTCACGCGAGCGCAGGAGAGTTTGCGGCAGAGCAGTACCGTGTACTAGCCGGAGGCATCGCGCCGAAAACCCCGCGCATTCCGCCCCAACAGAGGCTGCAGGAGGCAGATGGCCAATAGCGGCGATCGTTACGAAATGTAGCGTTACCGGGAGCTCTCCAAGCTGTCTTGGGTGGTAAGAAGGCAACTCCGCACACTGTAGCTTTTGGGGGCCGAAACACGTTTTAATTCACGCGAGGGGGCACGTGAGGCTTCTCGCGCGTATAACCGGTGTTCCCGAGTGTCGGAGACATGTACCCACAAGCCCATAAGCTTGGCTTACCTCGGCTCGTCGAACCGCGCACACACCGTGGTGCTTCGGGGCTCCTCGAGAGCACGTTGCGAGCGAGGGTTGGGGTGGGGGGTCTACAGGGGGTCGTTGGCGGAACCGGCATGGTTTTCCACCGCGTGCGACCCTAATCGTTGCATGCTCAAGCCGACAGCGTCTCTCTGCGCCGTGCATCAGAATGGGATTCTGCTTGCCTCTCGCCTCGCACTGCGCCGTGCTGACGGCGCCAAACTCCTGGGCGATTCCGTCGACTTTGGCCTTCGACGGCGAAGAGGGATGCACGGCGGTCTCCACGCCACAGTCGTGGGGAAAAAATCGCGCAATGCAGGCCACATGGGTTGCAGCGGCACGGTCCTTCCGGCCAAGTGCAGGCAGGGCCGCGCTGGAGGGTTGCGCCCGCCGCGAAGTTGTGTGATCTAAGTGGGTTTGCCCCCCCCCCCCCCCCTCATCATCAACCACCTCCGGATCCGGCATTCACGTGGCTTGAACACCGCGTGCGGGGTTTGTAAGGAGTATAAGACAACGCTCGACTAAGTGAGCAGATACGCGTAGTAAATCGCCCACACCGTTTGCGGACAGACAAACGCTGCGCTGCACAAGGGTGCGGCGGCACAGGTGTAGGGCTCCAAGGGGAAAGAACAAGACGGGTAAACAGAGAAGAGTCAGTAGAGACGGGACAAAAGCTGAGAGGATGGGGAGGGTGTAGCATGTGTGTGCGTTCTAGACCTTGAGTAGTCTCTGATGCCCAATGCGTGCACTCGTGGCGTATCATTTTTCTTCCAATGCTCTACGCTTTGACCGCGGCGCTTCCTTTGTCTTTGCCGTGCTGTGCTGAGCGACATGGGCCTCTTCTCGTCCGCCCCCGACGAGGAGCAGCAGAAGGCATGCCTCGCCGCCCTCGCCGCCGCCTTCCCCGACGTCAGCGAGCGGACCCGCAAGCAGTACGCGGCGTCGCACAAGTTCAAGCCCGACAAGTGACTGCGGCCTTCCCAAACGCCTGCATACAATTCGCCACCCGCCGCACGCGCGACCTCCTCCCCCCCCGCCAGGGCGTCCAAGGCGCTGGGCGAGAGCGAGAAGTGGCGGGCAGAGACTCTGCCAAGAGCGCCCGGCCCCGACGGCAGCGATGGCGCCGCCGCCGCGTCGCTGCTCTTCACGCACCGCGGCTTCGACCACCACGGCCGCCCCGTCTTCCTCTACTACGGGAGTTCCTTCGCGCCCAAGAAGTGGGACGCGGACGCCGTCATGCTCGGCGTCGTGCACACGCTCGAGGCGCCACTCTTACGCCACGCGCCCACCACACACCACACACACGCTCGCCATCGCCACATCGCCATCTCGCCGCCGCGCCAACAATCCCCGCCGCACCCGCCAGTGTGCCCTCGCCCCCCCCCCCCCCCCCCCCCTCACCCCCCCTCCCCTCACCACCATCGACCACCCGCCGCATCGCCATAGGCCTCGCCACCACACCCCACCGCCGGCCCGTGCGCAGGCGGGCTTCGCCGCCGCCGATGCCAAGGACCCGACCAACGACGGCGAGATGGCCCGAGATGCCCCGAGATGACGCGAGATGACGCGAGATGACGCGAGATGGCGCGAGATGACGCGAGATGGCGCGAGATGACGCGAGATGACGCGAGATGACGCGAGATGACGCGAGATGACGCGATGCCGAGGACGCGTCCAACGACGGCGATGAGACGCCCCTCCTCTTCCTCCTCTCTCCTCGCACGAACGGCCGTCGCCCTCACACGCGCACATCGCTGGGGTGCGAACCGGTTTGCGGTCGAGGTAGGCTGCTGCGTCATCATCTTCCTCATGGACGGAGGCACCAAGCTCGACATGGGCCTTGCCAAGCAGGCGCCGCGACGCAAAAGGAGAAAGACGCCGGAGCCGCCACACGCGTGGCAGAGTTGTAGCCGAGGGGCAGCCGAGGGGCAGCCCTTTGGAAGCCGGCAGCCGAGGGGCTGCCGACAGGCAGCCGAGAGGCAGCCGAGAGAGGTGGGAGCCCGAGAATCCCGGTGGGCACAATACGCCCTCCCCTCGGCTGCCCCTCGGCTCCCCTCGGCTCCCCTCGGCTCACCTCGGCTCACCTCGGCTCACCTCGGCTCACCTCGGCTCACCTCGGCTCACCTCGGCTCACCTCGGCTCGCCTCGGCTCATCTCGCGGCCCTTTCCACCTTTCCACCCGCACGCGCAGTTCAGCAGTTCTAGTAGCAGGCAGCCTTATCTCGCGCGTCATCATACCTCCCCGCGAAGTCATATCTCCCCCAATCTCCCCCAATCTCCCCGCAGTTCTCGCGCCTGGTCGGCGCGCACTACCCAGGACGTGCGTACCTGGCGCTCATCTACCCGGGCACGCCTCCTCGCCCCCGGCGTGCCGCACGCT